TGAGGAATATGACTAATCAATTTATAATTCCTTATTATATTCAAAAGTATTTATGTTCAAATATGTATACTGTTTTACTTGCAGTAGTGGGTTGTTAAACAGTCATGCATAACATCACAAAAAAAAAAAAAAATAATAATATTTATTTCTAAGAAAAAAAAAATGAGCAGTGCATTCAGAATAAATGAAAAACCCCCCAAAGAAAGAAAATTGTATAATATGCTCAGAAAAAACAATACCTACTCTTGTGCTCTGTTATATTTCATATTCATAAGGGTTTTGAATTTGGATAAGGATGGGGTATGGCGGATTTTAAGAGGCTTAAAATTCCAAAAAAGTGGTAGAACCGACAATAAAAGTGTTGAAATGAGACAGATCTGTGAAAAAACGGTCAAAGGATATGATTGTTGTTTATTTGGTGAATTAATGTGTCTAGGAAGTATTGTCTTCTGGAGGATGGGAATAGAATCCATAACTCAACATAATAGTAAGAAATAGGGTAACATCTCGGGGTCTCATTGAGGAATATTACTAATCTATTCATAATTCCTTATTATGTTCAAACGTCTTTATGTTCAAATATATGTACAGTTTTACTTGCAGTAGTGGGTTGTTATACAGTCATGCATAACATCCCGATACTGCAATGACCCGTATAGCGTAATAGACAAGGAAGTTTGACTAACAAATAAATAAATAAAAATTCCTTATTAGTCGAAATATATAAACTTTACCTGTAACCTACATGCTTATTTATTGTCTTATTGTGAAAATTTAGAACAGTTATCTCATGATCTGCGATGAGTTTAAAAAAAAAACAGAATTAAAAACTATATGTTTTTTATTGGTACAAAAATATACATTTAAAATACATATAAACATTAACAATTAAATAAAATTAAATTAAATATAAATATACCGAGTACGATGTTTTTTCATACCTGGAGACCTTCTTCCTCTAGAGATCTGAAAATAAAAGAATATTTTATACGGGAACGTATCACTAACAATAAGTTATTTATTTTTATCTTTTACAATTTTCTGTAATCATAGATACAAAATATTGAGACATATAAGAATTACTGTTTCAATTCGAATAATAACATAATTTTTTTAAAGATCTTTTAATTGAGAAATAATAAATTTTGCCACACATAAGAGCACTGAGTACTAAAGCTGAGTGAGACACATTCATACCATATATACAGTACAATAACAAAATAAAATAAAGAAATAAAAAAAATATACATCTATATAACAAAGACAAACAAACATTATAATAAATCAAGGAAATGTAACTTAGAGTTAAAATTAAATAAAATACAGAAATCCATAGCAAAATTAAATAAATTAAAAGTAAAAGAAATAAATTGATAAAAAAAAAGGAAAAGATTAAAAAGAAAAACATTTATACTTAATTACAATATTTACACTTAACATAAATAAATTAACGAACTATGAATTTATTGTTTTTTATCAAATTGTCTTAAATATTTTGTATATGTTTACCTTCGGTGTATATTTTGGGTTTAACTCTGTTCCAACAGTATATTCAGGAAAATACTTTGGTGAACTTGGAATCTGGAATATTCAACCACGATTAATAAATAAACATCTTCATTTTAAGTATTGAAAACAATAAATTAAAAAGAATTACCTTGAATTCTCTGGGTATTTCGTTAATATTAGGAATAGATGGGCGGTACCACATTGGAGGTATGCGTGAAGTCTCATTAACACTGGTCAACAAATGTATATTAATTAAAATTTACTTCTAATTTCAACTACACACACACGCTATAGGTTTTTTAAATTAATTAATTACGTTACCGGAAATAGGGATCTCGCACAAAATGCACCAATGTTCGTTGGTCGATATTTGATTTCACCTCACCGAATCCAGGCTTAAGAAAGGACAGCATAAATAACAGACTACATTGCAGTAACATCACTGAAAAGAGATAAAAATCAGCAGAAATAAATACACACAAGCAATACGGAAATCATATATATATATCAGTATATTACTATTTTTTTTTTTGTTTTGGAAATGATTAATGTTATACGGTGAAACTTTTAAACTATTGAAATCCTCGATTTGGACAGCAGAAGGAAAATTTTAAAACACTTTCAACTGTGATAATAGAGAGTTTTATAATAACATTTAATCTTATTTTCATTATTTAAATTGTGGTTGTTTTATAATTGTTGTTGAATACATTTGGATGTTAAAAATGCAACTGAAACAATAAAATATTGATGCAGCCATAAGAAAATTCGAAGAATGAAAAAATGAAGTATAAGCGGAAACAGAGCAATGAAAGAAAGATTCTATGAAAGCGAAGAAAATTTATAAAATTCTATACGTCTATATGTAAGGACAAATCCTATTTTGTTTGTAAACGCTGCTGATTGCTAAAATTACTGAACCAATCGTTATCAAATTTTAAATTCAACACCAGCAATGAGAATCACCGCCATGATATCCAGAAGGTTTAGCAATAATAAAATATATGTTTTTTTACCCCAATAATTTAAGGTCATTAATTAATAATTATACTATATCATAATTTATATTTATTATACGTATATATATATATATATATTTTTTTTTTTAAATTATGTATTATATCATAATTATAATTAGACAGATAAAAATAAAAAGTAAGAAGAAATTTATATAGAAATATAGTTGAAAGATTAAAGTAACTAGAAAAACGAAAATAACGTCAAAGCTTTTTAAAGTCTTGAAAACATAAGCCACACGCGTCTCAAATAAAATTTCATTAAAAATCAAAAAAAGTTTTGCGGATTTCGGCATAACTGAGTTCGAATGAAGTGAATTAAATTAAATTAAAATTTAAAAATTTGCTAGATTAAAAAATGAAAAAAACAAACAGGAGTCTGATATTGCAACAGTTATTGGATTCAAGAATTAAAGTAATTAACTAGAAAGTAAAATACATATACGATAAAATCATATTATTACAATTGTCTTTACTAACAACTTTAACCAGACTATGCATTTACAGCATAAAATGAAGTGTTTTTATGTTACCACATTTCATACTAATGGCTACAGCATATTAATAAACTTAAAAAAGAATAACACATTACATGGGATAAAGTTAACCTTAAACTTGAGTTTAACGTTGACAGTTAATGATAAACTTGAACTTGAGAGTCTTGATGCCTGAATTATACCAGGAATAATTAGTGAATAACAAATTGTTATTATAATTTAAAAAACAAAACAAAAAAAAAACAACTTGGAATCCGAAAATAGTGAATAAAAAATAAATGAAAGTCTCACTGAGTGAATGAAGGTTGTAGACGATGAAGAGGTGAAATCAACATTAGCATGAGTTAAGATACAGGAGACATATCGCGGCCTTTGTATTGTTGTGGGTCAACGGTTATCTCAGCGATAGGCCATCGATGACGTGCCCACTTCAGATTGTTGCTGTGGAGAATTTATCAACATGGTTCCCGGGTATATTTCATTAAAATCGTTTGGGAGAGGCTTATTTCCGTGTTATTTCATGTATTTGGGTGTTATTAAGGCATACAGGAAAAGAAATATCTAACCAATGTAAAATTTTTAAAAATTATAAGAATTTCTTCGCAAATTTGGTGCTCTCTGAACTAAAATAAAATATAAGTTAACGTATTTAAAACAGGTATAAAAAAAAAGATTTTAAAATGGTTTATTATGATAATGAATGCACTTCAATAGTTGCAGATGATAGCTCCGTCTCATTAACAATAAGACAATACAACAATATAGACCGAGACAACAATAACGAATTTTGTAAATAAATAACATTTCACTGTTATATAATTCACAATCTAAAAGCATGAATATAAGAAATATGGAATTTTTTTTTTTTTTTAACTTGATTCTTCAACTCACACCTGTCAGAAGTTCCGACAATCAGCGAGTGTGATGTCAAAATGAAGAGATTGGTCTTGGAATAGGCGTGAGGGAGAGGAGTACCCAGCGGCGTCCTTCCTGGACATGGAAAAATTAAATATTATTATTATTACAATGGAACTACTATCCTGTAAGGATCCAGGTCTGCTCCACTACAGCCAATCAATCTGCACGGTCCTGTGCTACCTCTCTGCATCTTCTGACAACCAGCAACCTTAGATCGTCCTCCACATCTTCCAGCCATCTGACATGAGGGCATCCTCTACTTCTTTTGCCATCCGGCTTCTCAAAGAGTATATTTTTTTTCATTCTTTTCAGATGTCATCCATCTTATTCCTGCTCTTTTTATGAATGGCACCATATAGAGCTCTCCGAACAGCCACATCTCTTGGACTTCAGATCTCCACTCAACTTAAAATAAAAAAGCGTCTAATGAACAACAGTATACGAAGAATTATCTGGACATACGGAGCAGAACTTTGGGGGCCCCGAAAAACACGTCTACATAAACAAACTCCAAACCGCACAGTTCAAAATACTTCGAAAAATTACACCTTGGTTCATTAAAAATCACTCCATACACAACGATACTAACATACAAAACAAATACACAACACTCCACTGTTCAACTATTAATCATCCAAATCAAGCTGTTCTATTATCTATGTCCTTCTTCCTGTAACCTAGTGAGCATCAAGGAAGACTAAAAATGCAGTGGCTTAGAGATCTCCTGCTGACAATATAAATAATTTTCAAGCAAAATAAGGAAGAACGATTGACAACACGTTTGCTTGATGTGTTACAACCAGCTGTAAAATAAAATAATAAATCAAAGGATCAGTATGAAATCATTCTGTTGATTAGTAAAATTTGATATCATTTTAATAAGTCTATTGCGGCTGTATGAGTTAGTAAAGGTTTCATAATAACCCAACAATAAAATATTTTCTTCTTTTATCTTATGTGTTAATGCTTTATCGTGAAGTTTTGAGTTATTTCATATGTTTTCTTAACCATTATTGCGTATTTAATTACTTTAAGGCCATTCAAAGAATCGTTAAAACAGGTTTCAGTTTATTATAATAACAGTCGGGTTGTTCAAACCAAGCTGTAAGTTGTTTTGATGCCATTAAATTTAATTATCCCTCTTTAAAATTATACGGAATCCTTCGGCAGTATTACAGTTTATAGGCAGTTCAGGTGTATACAGAATGCATCGTTGATATGTTTCGTTATTCAAATGAGAACTATTAAAGGAAACTAAAGCCTATTAACTGTAGCAACCTCGAACTTTAACGACTTTTCCTCCCAAGGGTGACGCCTGGTTATCAGGCTCGCAGTACGTAGGCTATATAGCAACTGATGGGGTAACCAACGGTAGTCTTCTGCCTTAACACGGTGACAGGTAGCAGTTACATTTCCATGAGCTGTGAAGTTGTGAAATAGGAGCAGGTATGTTACATATTAGGAATACGTTTTGTAACTAACACTACCTTCAATGCAATAAAAATTGAATGTAACATTTAATATTTTTTTTGATCATGGTGTTTTTACATAATAAAGTAGTAGACACGTATTCCGTTCTTCAGAATCTTTCAATGCGCCGCAGAAACAGAGAAAAAGGATACTAAAACTCTTAAACTTATTTTAAACGTTTTTATAAAAAAAAAAAAAAAAAAAATGAAATACAATTTATATAAGATTTGCATTAATGCAACATAATAGGAGTACGAAAAACAGAGAAAATTTCTAAATTATTTATACGGATAAATTGAATTTTCAAATAAAGATAAATAATATTTTATTTTAGTGATTCAATTACTAAATTTATTAGATGTATGGAATCAATTGTAAATATAATGACTAAGTGAAATAAATTATTTAAATAAATGTGAAAATTAAATAAAGCTACCTATTATATGGCTTTGACTATTAATTTCTTCATGATTATTCATTTTTAATAATTCCCGAAATGTGTGGATTGAACACTCTTTATCATATACACCTGTGACATACCTTGTAGTTCCAATATTTTAACAGTGACATATGTACACAGCAATGTTAGCAAGACACAAAAATCCAACATACGCCTCACTGACCCTACAACAGTATTTAACAATATTATATGACTGGTTCAAACTTCCGAAAATCCGACTAAATCAAGAAACATCACAGTACATCACATTTAGCCTTTGACATAAAACATGCCCTCCAGTTTTTCCATGACAACAAATAGATTCCACAGACATTCACTGTTCACTACCTTGGTCTGATATTTGACAGAAAAATGACGTGGGATTCACATATAATTAAGCAGGGAACAACGCTAAATGGAAGGTTAACAATTCTGAAATCAATTCTTTCGAAACATTCAAAACTCAAACTATGACATAAATTGAACACATACAATTACTTAGTAAAAACTATTTGGAATATATTTGGAACAGCTCAACAGATTCACAGAAACAAACTTAAAATCTTTCAAGTAAAAACATTCAGAACAATTACAAAAGCACCTTGGCACGTTAGCAACATAACCTTACATACTGACCTCCACATGACGACTGTTAACGAACACATACGAACTCATTACAAACGATTCCCCGACAACATACAAGGACATCCTAATGCATTCATAATTGGCATGACCACTACGGATATGTCAGGTAACGTCTGTAGGAAACTGAAGAGGAGCTGGATGAGGGACCTTCGCGCCTAATGTAGATATCACGCCAGGAGGAGGTGCCACTGGGTACTGCTTCCCCTCATGCCGTTATATTTTGCAATCGATCATCTCATTCATTATTTAACTCGATTCACTAATTAATAAAAAAATTAAATAATTATTGAATTGAAAGGTAAATGTCCTTGGTTGTTTCGCTTTTGATTGTAGGTCTAATGTGTTCGATAACAAAGGCCATTCTTCCAATTTCCATCCAAAGGACAACTTGATTTTTTCTAAAAAAATAATACGACACTAATAATGGATATTTAATGGAGGACCCAATAAGAATTGAAAATGGCCGTAGTGATGGTCGAAACGTAGTCGTAATAAAATAGCTAATAAATAAAATGTTGGTGAATAATGGCCTAATTTATATAACAAATACAAAAATTGTATGGATAATTTTTTCATATTTTACATTTTATTTCTTGAAAACTTGGACGAGCATTGTGGTGATTCTCTTCAGGTGTTACTCACACTCTCTCCCAAAAATTATATGAACTAAATAATCTGGCACCATTGTCCCTATGCATTAATAATAAAATAAATAATTAGAAATAATCATAATTTCAAACAAATGAAAGTAAAGCATGTAAAATTCCAAAGAATGTGTACAAAATTTAATAAATAATAAGTTTAATAAAATTGTAATATTTTCAATCCGTTAAAAAATGTTCAACACTTTGAAAGTGTTAAGTAATATATAAATGATTGAAGAGTAAACTCACGACATTCGGACGGGAAGGGGAAGAAACCATAAATATTAATGAGTTATAAAGGAATGCCCTTTTTCATTTTTGTTAAAACTTTTGCAAACCTCTTATTATACATTTAATTATTTTAATGTTATTCGAATATCAAATACTATAGGTCTTATTATGAACACATTTCTAGGGATGCAGTCTATATCGAAACTATTACTGTTGATATCAGCAATTTGTGTTGTAACGGTCTTCAGTTGTAAGGGCAGTCAAAGTGGATCGAATGCCGTTCAGAATTCAAGGGATAAACCTTCGCCAGTACTGATAGTCCCTCTCAATCAAGGACTTCCCTCCCCAAAGAAGGTATGTTATACAAGAATACAATTTTTAAAATAAATCAAACAATTTTTTAGGGATCAAAAGGCCTTGGATGAGAGATCTTCCATAAACAACCTACGTAATTGAAACAAAGATGGAAGAGGTGCTCCTGAGTGCTGTCATTCTCCAAGCCTGACATGTCATTGTTCCCGGTATTTTCAGTACATTTGTTGATTTTCCACATTAAGTTGATAAGCGAAAATAAACGTTTAAAGCCCTCCAAAAAAATTGTTGATATTTTTATTCTTTATTAATGGTATCTTTGATATTTAAAAAAAAATAATTTGTTTTCAGCACTACAGAAAAAAGAGGTACGCTGATGACGACGATGATGACAAAGCCGAAGAGGTAATGATTTGTTAAATTTATCATTCAATAAAAAAAAAAGTGAAAAATAAAATAAGTTAACATTTGTTTCTCTCTTGCAATACTAACCTAAAGCATGCTAGGAACTATTATAATATTATAGGACAAAGTCGCTTAATATAGCAATCGAAGTAAGGCATTTTATGAACTACAATTGATTTTAAATCAAAACTTTTAATGTTAAATAGAATAAATTTTAATCAAAATAATTATTTTCAGATCCGTGACAGGGTAACTAAGAGATTTGGCTGAGGTGAAGACTCGCTTATATCTAACATGAAATTGGAGCATCCTTCATGAATTGAATTCGAAAATAACCGTTCAATAAAATTTGTTGTTCTCAATAGCTTAGACACTTTTTAGTGATAGCATCTCTTGCTAAATGGATTTATTCAACTTTTTTTTTCCTGCACGAATTCATTTGATTTAAATAAGTGATTTTTATTATTATTATTTTAAAGATATATTATTCAACAAGATATATTATTATTCAGATGCTAAGATGTTTTGTTATCTACTAAAAAAAATAAAACAACTATTACCTATTAAGATGTTGGAAAAATAATTGTCACTGTTGAACGTGGTTCAAACATCCTACTTAGATTATTGAAATGATTTATATTTAATTGACTAAAGATATCACTTTAATATTATATATATATATATATATATATATATATATATAAGTGTGCTCTGTTTTTTGATTATTACAAATATCGGCAGTCACAATGCAAAGCCTATTACAGAAAGTAGTATTTATTATTTTATAAATTAAGATTTTCTGTTTAATTTTTATTGCATGTTTTAAATAATTTTTATTTAATGCTCATTATTAAATTGAACATACAGGTGCTATCAGTTTGGCTGACGATATATAATTCAAATTGTTAATTCTTCCTTATTGCTATTTACTATCCTTTGGCTATTTACTATTAGATTAATTTGATTTTCACAAAAAAAAAATTAACTATCTATCTCATTGTAAAAATACATTTTTGGTCCGAATTTTATATTATTGTAACAAACATGTTTTTCTTACCTTTTTTTTTTAATATCTTTTTTTCTTCGGCACTATTCCCCATCCTCCACAGATTTTGGCCTTTATATATTTTAACAAACAATTGAAATGATCCCTTATGAATAAACACGTGTTAAATAAATAGTAATCTGTCCTACAAATACACGTTTTGCTCAATTATGGAATTATACCAAACATGCAATTCCAACTTTATAAAACGAAGTAATTCTATCTATGATAGTTATAAATAATTACCCACGATACACCAGAATATTCACGCTATATTGCATTCATCTCCATTTTAAAACACTAATATCACTGTATACGTTTTATACTATATAAGTCGATACCCATATGTATAGGGTGTGTGCACCGAACCCGCAACACGCGCGAGTTGTGCGTTTCTGACTGCAATGTTTTTTTTTCTGTCTGGGCGATAGGCTTGGTTGGTCAGTCTCTTGGATTTACTTTGTTAAACATAGCCAATAATAATAATAACTTTTGCTTATAATGTTCTTGATAAAATAACATTTCGCCATTGACCGTTGTAAACAGTAAGTAGATATCAATATGTTAATAACAAAATATTTAGTAACATTTTGCTAACAATAATGTTGCTAGTAACATTCGGTGAAAACCCATCTTATAATTCAACGAACTTCCTGTGAAATAGAAAATTAATAATTAATTTTTTGAGATATATTCTGAATTATTAACTTGAAATCACTACGATTTTATAAAGATGAAATCAAGAGAAATAAGATAAAAAAAAATTAAAAATATATCCGAAATGTATCTCGCTGTTAATATTAACTCATTGTCCCTAATATTATAATTGTTTTTATTTAACTTCTGAAAAATATTTAAATAAATGTTGGTCTGTCCAAAAATATGTATCTAAAAATCATCACTAAAACTGATAATGCACAGTGCTTTTTTATACAGATTATGGGAATTGATCCTTAAGGTATTAGGTGACCAACTAAAAAAGCCAGACAATACGTTGGGAACCTGTAGTCATAACTCTTTCAGCAAAAAAACAATAATGTTAAAAAATCCAAAATATTTATGATTCTTTAGTTTGTATTACCAAAAAATATAAACTCAACATTTTCAAAGTCTGATATTTGAAATTATGGGAAGAAGAAAGGATAACAGAAACTCGAAATATGGGCCTAATGTGATCTATCCTATTAAAGGGCTGCGAGTTCGTGGTGAGTTGCAGAGGCAAAACATTCTATGAAAACATATCAGGCAACCACCAAGATATGATTCAAACAGAAACAGTTCATAACAGGAGTTTGAGAAACGATAGAAGGAAGCTTAGACTGTAGAGGCGTTATGTATCACTTTTTTTTTTTTTATTTGTTTGTTGATAAATATTACAATCTGTCTCAATAAAGGACATTTATAATAGAGTTCTGAGAGCACATTCACACCATATTTACAAATAAAAAAAAAAAAAAAAATAAGCTAACTTCAAATAATATAAAGCTACAAAAGAACAAAAGAAAATATAAATAATAGTAATAATATAATGAGAATAAATGAATAAAATAGAATTAAAATTATCTTAAAAAAAAAAAGTAATGAAAATAAATATCTTAGATGCAGGCATACCTATTTATACTATTTACAGTCGGCCATGGGAACTCCGAACCATACTTATCCCCCCACACGTGGAGGGAAAGCAAGGCTTCAGGAGATCCCTGCGCTTCTTCCTCAACCATTTCACTGGCATTGAAAGCCAGCGGATATTGATGTATCACTTTTAAACCAGCTTATGATTCCGTACAGAGAAACTGTCTTTAGAAGATCATGACTGAGCTGAGATTCCGAGAATTAGGTGAGAATGAATAATTCTTGTAAGAATTATCCAACATACTGAATCCTTGTACAAGATGAAGGATCTGAAGTCTAAGATATTGAAAATGTTTGAACCAGCGAGATGAACGCTTGCAGCTGTTAAACATTTTCGTATGAGGAATGTATGTATCATAAAATCCGAAGATATGTTGCTATATATTATTATCGTTGAATCTAAATCTGAATTAAACAACAGGAATATTTAAGTAATGGAAAAGTGCTTTAGTAACTACTTTTAGGCCTTTGCCAGGTCGATTTTTTAAAAATTTCTTTAATAGTTCTAGTTAACATATTTTAATAATTCTTGCAGATTACATACTTCTCACTGATTTAACCTTTTATTATTTTTTCCATAGCATTATAGGAGGGAAGGATGTCGAAATGATACTCATTTTTTATTGCGGATAGGTGATCACTAACAGGTTGACGTGATCAACCTTATTAAACTTACTGTATATGGAATCTTGTTATTATTAGATGAAATAAAAAAAATATATACAGCATAAATAGTTTATTCAATAAATATTCACATTGATAGGGTTCAGACATAGTATATTTTTGGTGGTCCTTTTCGAGGTGGCCTGTAAGTAGGTTGGATAATTTTGTATGGAGATCTCCTTTGCCTGGATAACTAAAACAAAAGAAATATATTCAGAGATATATACTGGGTAATATAAATACATCTATATAAATACAAAATTATCATAGCAATAAAGTTTTTAAATACTATACGCTACTAAATTATTGAATAAAGACCTATTGATTAGAAAAAGTTACCTCGATTGGTTCAATTTCGAACATAGGTTCCTCTCCATTCAATTCCTCTACTGATCTAGCCTGACGAAAAATCTGAATCAGAATAAAAATACTAATATTTAACAAATAAACCTTTTATACTTATAGCAATAAATTGTATATTACTTCCAATTTACGGCTGAAGAAAATGGTTTAAAAGATAATTACCTCATCTAAGGCAGGTTCATCAACCAACTGATCGTGCTCCGCGAAGTCTTGATCGTCCATTGATCGTTTGAATCGGTAATTCTAGAATAAATCTTTTTAATAATATTATGAAATCGACATGTCCGTGTCATGCAACGTTAAAATACCCTATTCGTGATTAAATACCTTATATGCGTCAGGAAGTCCCTGGTTCCTCGGGTTAAACACAGGCGGAGCGGGGTATTTGCCTATGTTGGGTAAGGAGTACGACCCGCTGGGTCTACGCTGTGGGGATCCGTAGCAGAAAACTGCACCGGTTGCAAACAGCAGCACCGCCAATCCCAAAGTCACCTTCATTTCAGGGTTAATGTTTGAGCTGGAAAGGGAAATGCATCTAATTTGTTTTGTTCACAGCTACATTGTGAAAGTCTTTGATTTACAAAGCCTGAAATCTGCTAATTGCAGTGTAGAGGGCGTAGTTAACGTTTAAGGGTGCGTAATGATAAGTCTAAGCCGAGAATAGCAGGAATTTGCATCAAAGAATGCAAGACGAAACAATAATAAAAAAAAATAGCAACGTGCAGATGTAGCAGCATAAAGATACAAGATACTAAAAATACAAGAACCGTCCCACTTAATAAAGCCTGAAAATTAAAGTTATGAACAAGCACGTGATATGGAAATTTAATCGATAATGATAATATTGGCTTGAATTAAAAAAAAGTTGGATAATAGAAAATAATTAATGACGTAGCTAGAGCTCTTGATAAATGGAAGATATGGAATCTCAATGAAGGATAGAGGCTAAAAGGTGTTGAAATTAATTGGAGTTACAACACAACTTTTAAATGAAGAGGTCTGTTTTGTTTTTCTTTAAACGTTTGTGATATGTCACCTCTGCCAAACCTTGTGTAGCCGAAAGGCAAGAAAGGGAGGAATAAATAAATAATTGAAGAATTCTGAGTAAAATATCTATGGTTCCCATGGACTGGAGTTAACAAAGCTGTAAACTGTTCCAAGTGTGTTAACATCTGTCCAAGATACTTCTAATACTAACAGGTTCGCTCATTCAGCATGCTTTGGAGAGGGGGAAGGATTATGACGTAGAACTAGACCATCAAACCTTTACACAGTGAGACAAATTTTTAAAAAAGTAGCCATTTACTTTATTACTTTCTTTGAGTTTTATGATAGATAATAGAACTATTGTTGTTACATACTATTATTCTATGAATTGTATGTGGGCAATAAGTCAATGTCCATTATTAGTATTTTTCTGAATAATATGATAACTAAAAATATTAATAAATATGTGAAATTGAAACAAAAAAGGTGGAAAAGATTATGAGTACCAATATATTTGTTTGATACAGTTATATTTATTTCAAATTTGGAATAAATTTAATAAAATAAATTTTAAAATGTTTTATCTAAAATATATAATATATTT